GCGGGGGCGCCCCGGGCGCGCTCTGGACTGAGGCCCGCGAGCAAGCGCTGTGCGGCCCGGGCCTGCGCAAGACCAAGTACCGCAGCTTCCGCCGGCGGCTGCTCAAGTTCATCCCCGGACTCAACCGCTCCCTGGAAGAGGAGGAGAGCCAGCTGTAGGGGCGGGTGGGCAGGGAGGTATTTATTTATTTATTCCTGACAGCCAGGGCAAAGAATGTGGGCGCCCAGAGCAGCGGGAGAGGCTGCCGGCCGGTCCTGGCCAACTACTTGTCGGCTGGTCTCCGCCAGCGGGGCACAGCAGGGCGCCCAGAGTGGTCCTCTCCGCCTGAACGCAGGGCGCTGGGGCTGGGGGAAGACAGGCAGTCGGGCTTGGGAGAGGCCTGGGGGCCAGATGGGCGTGCAGTGCTAGTCTGGGTCAGTAGTGCCTTGGCGTCCAGGAAAACCCCCCTGGGTGGGGACCCTGTCCCACTAAGCCCTCCTCCTCAGCTTTCCTAGCTCCCCCACCCCTAGCCTCGGGGAAAGTGGCCCACTGCGGTGGGTCCCCACTGCACACACACAGCTCCGAAGGGCCCCAAGGGGGCAAGGTGCTGGGCCCCTCCCCCGGCCTTGACCCCTAAGGGCTTGGCCCCCCAGGGGCCTGTAACTAAGTGGGGTCCTGCTGGGCGGGGTCCTGGGTTCTGTGCCCCTTGGGGAACAGGAATGGGCACGTTCAGGTAGGGTAGAGGCAGCGCAGACTGCCCCACCGTTTTGCATTTGTTGCTTCTGAACCACAAACTGTATAAAATTGACGGTTTTTTGCATCTGTGTCAGTGTGGTGACTGCCTGAGGGGGAGGACTGGGTTCGGGCAAGCTCCGACTGCACCCACTGCCCCCTCCGAGCACACCAGGCACACCCGCGCACACTGTATTTTACATCCTCCCTGCAGCCTGAAGCCACAGAAATCATCTGGGGGATTTTAGCATGCAGGTATGGGCCAGAACCGAGGCCCCATCCCCTCTTCTGAACTTGGGCCTCTGGTGTGAGTGCTCTGTAGCCTCCCTCAAACATCTGCCGCCGACAGGGCAAGGCTCGACCTGTCCTTAACTGTCCTGTAATCCCTGTGTGAATGCCAGGGTCCCCTCTTCCTAGCAGCTGAGTGTCTCCCCAGACTGAAGTCACAGGCCAAGCCACCCCTTTGTTCTAGGCTAGAGCTCGGCGGGAAACGGCTGGAGCTCTTACTCCTGCGCTGAGCTGTGTGACCCTGCCTCCTCACCTTGTCCCCTCCTGTTCCCTGCTCTGGCTGCCCGGTGCCGCTGGCTTCAGACCCTGCCTCCTTTGGGGTCCCTGCACAGGTTGCACCAGTGAGATTTCAGTGCACGGCTGTGCCTCCTCCGAGAGGCTTGCCCCGACTCAGCCACGCAGGCGCCGGGCTCCAACGGCCCTGCTTCATCTCCATCATCGTCTCAGGTTGTCTTGCCCGTTACACACTGTCCTTGGTGCCTGCTCTCCCCTTCAGGCCACAGGGTTCTCGCAACAAGCTGTTAGCTACTGTCTCACACTTCGTTCAGAGCCGGGGATATAGCTCAATGGCACAAGCGCCTGCCTGGCAAGTACAAGGTCCTGAGTTCGATTCCCCGCACCAAGAAATACACTTCATTCTGCCCAGTCCCAGATCACAGTACAGTGTTGTCACCGTGGTTGCCACCTTACTTGAGGTGACCCTGGGCAAGTAACCTGTCCAGGGTCACACAGAAGTTGGCAGCAGAACTGACTTAATACATGTGTTTGGTGTCTCTCTCTGGCCATAGCCAGCAGGAGCCCTGGCTTTAAGGCGGATTAAGCGGGTTCTCCCCCAGCTGGGCCTCTCAGCAGTCTGGGTGATACCTATCAAAGAAGGAAATGGCTCAGTGGTAGAGCAGTTGCCTACCATGCGAAGTCCCTGGGTTTGATTCCTAGCGCTGCAAAAAGGGAAAAATAACAAAAAAGGAAATCAGGCCACAACCTCCTGCTTAAACCCATTATGGCTCCCCTGGAATAAAAATAACACTCAATTTTTATTTTTTATTTTTTTGAGGTACTGGGGTTGAATCCAGGGCCTTACATACGCTAGGCAAGCACTCTGCCACTGAGCTACATCTCCAGCTCTTCCTTAACTCTTTACTTTTAGGTATAGGTTCTCATTAAACTGCCCAGGCAAGGCTCAGACCTTTGAACCTCCTGCCTCAGCCTCCCAAGTAGCTGGCATTACAGGTGTGCACCACCTTACCCAGCATATTCAAACTCTGTGCCACGGCCTGTCCATCACACCTTGTCTCTCTGAGCCAATTACAAAAAGGGGCTCCTTTCTCTGGGCATACAGTAGCCACACAGGCCTCACGATTTGTGAAACGGCAGCCTTTGTGCAGGACAGCTCTATTGCAAGGCCCTGCTCAGGACCTCCCAGGGCAGGGTCTCTGCCTCTTCCTTGATCTGCAGTTGTTTCTCCTCCATACCACTTGTTACATTTCGGCCACACTGCTCTTCCTGTTCCTACTCAAGTGCTCCCGCCTCTGCCCTTCGCTTGCGCTGCACCCTCTCCCTGTGCACTTTCCAGACTGATGCGTCTTCAGGTCTCCATGTCACATCCTCAGAAGAGGGTGCCCTGCTCTGATCCGGTCTGGTCGGATCTGATGCTGTTCCCTCTCCCATTGTTTTTGATCTCTAAGCTCCTATTTTCTCCTCCTTATAGTGCTTTCCCCTGCTTGTATTAATTATACCGACTGCTCCTAGCTGCCTTTGGTGTGCAGGAGCGCAGGACCCCGACCTTGTCCCCTCACAGCCTGCTGAGGCAGGTGCTCAGTGAACCCTGGGAGGCGGCCGGGCCTCCTGGGCCAGCCCTGCCTGGGGGGGCCGACCTGGAGGGTGGGAGGATGGCTGCTCCCTCTGCAGCTGGCCTCTGTGGGTCCCTCTCTGAAACCCCTCTGGGGCTGGGTGGGGGCTCCAGCCATGGCACCCCCATCTGCCCCCCAGGACACTGCTGAAGGAAAGGGAGCCTCGCAAGCTGTTTGAACAGCTGTTGTGCAGGGAGAACAAATAGCGGCTCCCTGGGGCCCAGGTCTAGGGGAAGGGCCCTCTCACACCTTTGTTCCCAAGACCCAGGGCTGCCAGGGGACCAGCTGCCGGGGTACAGCTAGTACCTGACTTTCTCCGGCCCTCACAGGCTCCCAGCCTGTCTCCCACCAGCCTGTCCTGCCCCTGCCACGCAGCTGGTCTTGGGAGCGATATCCGCTGTACCCTTCACTTGGGCTGGTGGGTGCTCCTGGCCAGCCGCGTACACCCAGGGGAGGAGGGGTGGTCCAGGGCGGGGCAGATCCCACCTCTCAGCTGATGGGATGACGGCACCAGCACAGCAGCCTCCTGCCGTGTAGGTGGGTGACAGGGAGTGACTAATGTGCGAGCTGCGATGCTAAAAATTAACCCAAGGATCGTGTTTGGTGGAGGGGGTGGGGGTGGATGGGAAGGGAGCGGGGACTCGATACTGTGTGGTCGGTATTCCCCTGCGCTGCTGCCTCCCTCCCTTCCCACCAGCCTTCTGCGGCTGTCAAGGCCTCAGGGGACTTGGGGGAACTTCTTCCACTCCAGGCCAGAAGGGCCCGGCAGCTCCAGGAGAGGAGAGTGCATTCGGGCTTGGCAGGCTGAGGACTCGGCTCTGCACAGGAGGCTCAGGTCTGAGCCCTGCAGGGCCCCTGTTCTCCCTTTCTGCCTGGCCAAGGGCCGTGGGGGAAGCAGAGGCAGCCAAGGAAAGGGAGCTCCCATCTCTCTGTAGGAGAGGGCCGACTCCCATCAGCTGCAGGGGGTCAGGGGTGGTGAGGGTGGTGAGGGTGGCAGCTGCACGGAAGGAAAGGACGGGACTGTCGTCCAGAGCACCTGCAGTACCCAGTGTCGTGCCCCCCACTTCCACATCCCTGCTTCATCGGAGGGGCACAGATCTACAGCTGGGTATCACTTCCCATTCTATGGATGGAGAAACAGCACGAGAGACGTTAAGGTCGAAGAGCTGGCACTAGCAGAGACAGGATTTTCTTGTGTCTCTAGACCCTCGAAGGGGGAGAAGGGAGGCTTTCTGCAGGAAGCCATGGAGCCAGGGGCATAGCGATGGTGAGGAATGAGCTGAACAGCATGGGGCTCATTTGTGGAAGAAGGGCGGGGTCGAGGGAGGCAAGTGAAAGGGGGGACCTGAAAGAGCAGGGTCTAAAGTTCCAGGGATGAGCCAGGAGTAGTGGCACACGCCTGTAATCCCAGCACTTCAGAGGCTGAGGCAGGAGGATCACTTCGAGATTCAGGCCAGGCTTGGCTACATACTTTAAAGTCAGCCTTCACTGCATAGCAAGACCCTGTCTCAAAAGGTTCCAGGGATGTGGATTACTTTTGGAGTAAGATGAGAACATTCTGATCAAAGCGGAGGAGGAGGGGAGCCCTGAGGACTGGGTCTGGAGGTCACAAGAAGGGCTTTTAGAGCTGGGCGTGGTGACACACGCCTGTAACCCCAGCACTCGGGAGGCTGAGGCAGGAGGATCATTGCGAATTCAAGTCCAGCCTGGGCTACAAAGTGAGCTCAAGGCCAGCCTGAGCTGCATAGCGAGACCCTGTCTCAAAAGGACAAAAAAAAAAAAAAAAAAAAAGGGCTTTTAGAGGCACATGTAAGGAAACCTTTAGAAGTGACCTCATGAATACTAGCATTTTCCCTGGAGACCAGAGAACCTAAGCTGGACGGCAGCAGGCAGCAGACAGAAAAGACGTGAGGCAGCAGAAAGCACTTTCCGTTCGCCAGTCACTCAGGAAGCTGGGGAAGTGAGCCAGGCTGTGGGATTCCCCCAGGTCAGGAGAGACGTCAGGCTGTCTGGGTAGGAGGTCGCTTGGTCCTCCACTGATGGGCAGATGCAACGATATTAAGGAGGAAGTGACTGGCTCAGGGATGTGACAGAGAAAGAGACACGAGTCTGTGGACAGGCCAGCGCGCCCAAGGAGTGTTCCTCACTCCAGTGTAAACAGGAAAAAAAGAGATGAGACACTAGAGAGAGGTGTGGACCCCTGGTGGTGACTTCAGGACACTACACCTCTCTGATCCCTGACCACGTAGCCTGGACAGGGAGCAGGAGAGGGTAGATTCTCCCATCAGCCAGAGAGCTGGGACTTCCTGTCTCCCTCTGTAGAGCCACCCTTCCAGGATTCCTCCGCCCTGCTGCCAACCCTAACACACCTGAGCCTCCTTGCCCTCCGCCCTTCCACTACACCGGGTCCCATCGCCTCTCCTCACGCCATGCGTGCTCCAGAGGGAGGAACCCTCCTCTCACTCCCTGAGCTGTGCTGGCTGGGGGCTGACAGACTTCTGTGCAGAACCCTGCCTGGTCTGAGAGCTCGTGGGCTGCGGTGGGGAGGAGGAGGAAATACCCAGTAAGCTGTCAGACGCTGGAATTTCTGCTGTAAGGCAGACCTCCTCAACCTCAGAGGATCTTCACTTCCTGGAGACTGGCCTCTCAGCGCAGGTCATGCAAATTTATACAAAACGTCCAAAAATGATGCAAATACTGCCTTTGGCTCTCTTCCCCCACTGCTGCCCTCCAGCCACTCATTCTCCCTTGCAGCTGCTCTCGTCCACTCAGGAACCCCCCGAATGACACCCTTCTGCCCCCCAGCACCTCTGCAACCGCCACACTTCTGTCCCATAAGTCAAACTCCACTTTCTCTGGGTGAACAAACACAAGCCCAGTCCTTACCAGCTACAGCAGCCAGTCGCCTGGGGAACCCTCCACAGTAGAAGGGCCCTGCATCTACCCTTCA